ATAAATATAAATAATATAGATACTTATATACATGTATTCCGTTCAAGTGAATTTAGTGCACAAAATATTCAAGTGTTTATATGGATATTCATATATTTATACCTTGGTCACATTTGAATGAGTTATTGTATGTTCGTTGATAATTACATCAAATTAATTTTTTATAATTGCAAATACCGTCCACTTATACACGCATTTACGATATCGAATATGTAATAAATTTCTTACAACAAAATAAATATTATTGTATGTAAGCAAGAATATTATTCATACTGAAATTGTTGAAAATAATTATTTTTTTGTTTATTAAGAAATTATATTAATATTTATTAATGATTTTATTTTTTTTAAATTTAAGATAACGGATCAGTAATAATATTACTGATATACATAATATACATAAAGCATTACGAATTGATTTTCTTTAAAACGATGCTGTATGCTGATTTCTTTTTTATTTAAATTAGATAAGATAAGTATTTTAAGAGCATCGAATTTTGAGGGGAAAAGATGTAAATGTTTCTAAATTTATTTAAAACATTAAAATGAATATTAATTTTTTGTTATTAGAATCGCTGTTGCCAAATAACATTTAACATGAAATTAACATGAAACATATTTTTTTATTCTGCATAATTAAAGAAAATAATTAAAATTTATATTAAATAATGAAATTTTTCTCATGTTGAAAAATAATAAAAATAAATTTATTTATGAATCATTTGATAATTCAATGTAAAACAACTTGTTGAAGTGCAAGTACTGTAAAAAAATAATAATCTATTATTTTGAACAATAACAAGCATCATTGGTTTGTTGTAATATCCAATTTAAATGTGGACCAACTCTTGTGAATATCGAAACTGCAGGAATATTATCACACTTGTTTATATCTGAAATTATACCTGTTACAAAATAAGATATTGTCATTAATTCATTATTCTTAGCCTGAAAAATTTTATTTATAAAAAAGTTTTATTATACTATATACTAAGGCTACTGCGATAAAATGATTACGAATATTAATTACAATTATTCGTGTAACTCAAAGTTAAGTAATTTAAAAAAAAATGTTATGCGTACCAATTAGATCATACACTCCAAAATATGAACGATATTGTACTGAGGAACCCACGTCGTTCTGAAATGTATATTTCTATATTTAGATATTTAAAATTTTATCAAAATAACATAAATAAATAAATAAATTGAAATAAGATTAAAAAAAAAAAAGAAAAAAAAATTACAAATTCTACTTAACTTGTAAATTATAATTTAATAATAATATTTTTCTTCGATTCATCTAATTATTCCTTAATATTTACTTTTTGTAACAAACTTATAATTATAATATCCATATTTGATTAACAACTGTACTTAATTAAAACGATTAAAAATAATATTGTCGATAAGTTAACATACCTCGCATACAATAGAATTTCCACCTAATACTCCAACACAACCGGAATCGTTGTGAAAATTCATAGGATTTATTCCAGATTTGACACATTCCTCGTGCCCTAAAATTGGAAGTCCCAATTTTCGTGGTCGACAAGTTTGATTGTTGTTTTGATCGTCTATATTCTTCACCGTCCATCCGACCAAGGTTCCAACTTGTCCGAGATAAGTCGAACCTTAATATTGTAAATAATGATATAATTTTGCATTAATTGTACTTATTTATCAATTTTTCTTTTATCATTATACAATATACGTATGTTTAATCCGTCAGCCAAAAATTATTTTTTCAATTTCTTATAAATTTCTTTAGAAGTTAGTTTGATTTATTGCAAGTTATATTAATGATATATAAAGAAATGAAAAATAAAAATGTAGAATTTTGAAAAAATATTTTTTAATAATGATAAAACAAGCATGGTTTCCCAAATTAAAGATGCGTACATATTTGAAAACTAAAATTTTTATGAGTATATAAAAAAAATTATTATAAGTATACATATTTCAGCTCTTTCTTATATTATAAAAATTTTATATATTATATCATAAAACTTTCGAATATTTTTAAAAATAACGAAGAAGATATTGAAGATGTTATTGGATACATTTTTTAAATTTTTCTAAACTCATATATTGTTATTAAACTGGAGAAGTTTTACATATTTATGCAAAATTTATATGTATAAAAATCTATGGAATGCATGTGATATTGAAAATATTCATAACAAAGAACACATTATTTATTTCAATTTCATAATTGTATTCTATAAAAACGTAAATTTTCATAAACCTCCGCAATTTAATTATTATTTTATAAGTAGATTATTTGAAAAAAAAGAGAATAAAGTAAAAAAAATTAATTATAAAAATTAAATATGTGAAATACATGCCTGGATTTGGTAAACAGATGGGTGATAGCCTTCTCTCAAATTTAACAGCTTGACTTAATTTGATCAATGCCAAATTATGAGCATGAGACTCCATGTTATACTCTGGATAGAGAATCAACGATTCAACGCTGATCGTGCTCGATGACACGTCCAAATTACATCGATCGTATTCTCCAAGGGATACTTTTACTTCCGCCGCCGTTACGCTGAAAATAATATTCTCAAATTTTTTTTCTTTTAAAATTAAAACAAATTGAAAATTTTATGCAATTTACGAACCCAATCAATTGACTGGCCGAAGAGAGAACGTAACGATCGTTTATCAGAACTCCGCTGAGAAATTTCGATTTCACGTGAATATTCGCAAGCCATGGAAATTCGTGAACTTTTGTATATTCTCCACCGAGGAATCGTGTTTCGCCAAATCGATTTGGTCGCCCGCAAACTATAAACAAGTTATATTTAATAATCAATGAAGAATTTAATCAATAAGTATCTGATAATATTCATCAAATATTCTCTTACGACAATTGCCACAAGTTTTGAATCTGCCCAACAGGAAGTCCAAAATGCCTCGTGTTTCCCGCAATTTATTCTAATAAAAAGAGTAACGCGAAGAGTTGTATTTCGTACAAATATAAATATATGAAACTCTCCGCGAATAATTTAATTGTTATTTTATACGTTATTATATATTTTTAGCATTCTTTCGAACGTTAAAATATTGAATTTATTTTTATGAATTTCTCGCTAATTTTACGATATACAAAGTGATAAATCATTTAATTATTTTGTCATAGATAGTTTTATTGTTTCAGATGGAAAGATCTTTCCATCTTTTTAGCGGACAATAGTTATTACCAGTTTTAGCAGTGTAAAAACGAATTATAGTGAATTTATTGAAGTTTAGTCAAGAATAGAATTGAAAATACACGACGATTTAATTAAAATCGCGAAGAAAATCAATAATATAATTTTTCAATATTAAATACGATATTGAATTTTAGTTTCGTAATTTATTAAAAATAGCGAATATAAAATATTTTCTACTTTATATTTAATAATTTCTTATTACTTGTTTTTCCCCTTATCATATAAATAATGTAATACAATTAAAATCTGATCTTGAAATTTGAATTAAATCTTATGTATACACAATTTTATACTCAATTTATACGTCTCTTCTCATTTTCTTTATATTTCATTCGTCGTCTCGACACGAAATCAAATTAGAAAAAATGGACACAAACGACGAAAACGTTTAATCTATATTCTATATCGAGAAACAAATATCGAAGATGTCGTAAAGAAAAATCGCTTACGGATGGAGCAACCTCGATACAGCGAATCGATCTCGTGGCGAGCACCAACAAAAGACCGCATACGAGGTATTTAACGAAGTTTTGCAGCTTCATGGCTTTTCTCTCGGCTGTCGAAACGGTACTGGGTCCGGTTGAACGGTCGGTTTGTCTTGTATAGCGGGATTATCATTGCCCGCATCTCGAGCAGTGCACAAGGCCTTTTCATAAACGTCGAATCCACGAAAGTTATCGGCCCAAGAATTCGCTCTTGGTTGTCTCGTTTGAATGGTAACCGGTCGCCAACCGGTTGCTCGGTACCGTTAGAGGATTTCAAGATAATGTGATCAGAAGTCAATCCGTGGAAATGGAAATACGTTTGACACGTATGATAAGCTTTGAGTAGAGAGTATTGGCTTCGATTCGAAGGATGATGCACGCATTGGTTTCAGCTTTGCATATCGAATGTAATGATCTTATTGATTCACGGGCACAGTAATTGAATCACATCGATCGGACGAATTGATAAATCGATCTTGCAGCAAGGGTTGATTCATTTGTAACAGAAATTTATGAAAAATGATGTTAATTATTTATAGAATATATATTGTTTTGATATTAATCGATGGTAATTAATTAGTAATAGGTGTTAGGTTTTTATTTCAATTTTTGACGAATTTGTAAATTTAGAAATAATGAGCGATAAAATATTTAATTTAATCAATTCATCGTTTTATTAATTGGAAGCATCGTTTATTATATACAAGAGAAGCAACTCAAAAATTTTATTCGTATTGTACAAAACGTTTCGTATTGTTCAAAATTTATATAAATCCTTAATAACTCAGCGATTGTTAAAAATGGATTTATTCTTCTTTCGCTGCAAATTCCACAATTCTATTTTTATTACTTTATTTTGATTGAATTTCTTAATTTTGATGTTAATGCATGCGATTAATTTCCTATAAAATAATTAATCTTAATAGAAAATAACATTGATAAATTTTGTTTCGTGTATAGGGAATTAGTGAAATTTCGAGGAACTTAATAAAAGAAAACATGTAAAACATGATAAATGATTTAAGTTATTCAATAAACTAAATAAAATTTTTTGTTATTATCAGGATAAAATAAGTTTATAGATAATTATCGTTGCATAATTTATGTAATAATAAACGTTTATTGACTGTCTCGTTATTGAGCATATTACTTGATCTTTAAAATGATTAAAATTTTCACTTATATTTGAACAGATCGTGTAATTTTTTTATTTCAATTGATCTTATATTTATATTATAAATCGTGATTTTTATATTTGTTGTAAAAAAAAAATACAATAAAATGAATAAATTTATGATCATTAACAATAATAGATGAAAAATGATATACAGAAAAATAAAAAATTTGAGTATTTTGTAAATATATATGTATTAAAATTATTTTTGAGCTTCGTACTCTCCATTTGAGTCATTTATTCAGAAAAACAAATTTAATTTTTGAATCACTTCGAATATCACTTATATTCGACACATATTTCATGTGAAAACTGATTGTTAATTAATATTCGTAACGAAATCAAACGTTTTTCTCACGTGCACGTGAATTATGTTATAATATTTCAAACTTGTATTTATCTCTCTCAACGTGATAATTTTTCAATGCTAATAATTGATACGACAAAGCAGAGAAATCTATTGGTTTGAACATCGTTGTGTACAATAATTATTGTTCTTAATTCTGTTCACAGAAACAACCCTCTCGAGAATGATAAATGATCCAGTCTATGTATCGTGTTACTCTCGTATAAACACCAGGATATCCTGGCCGAGCACATCCATTTCCCCAGGATACTATACCTATAAGCTCATATTTCTTGTCTTCGCGTTCGGTTATGAGTGGTCCTCCACTATCACCCTAAAAAAAAGAAAGAAGGAAACCTAAAAAAATCTAAAAATCACATCTGTACGATATTTTTTGCGTCAATTGGAAAAATAACCTATTCCTTTTTTTTCTTTTCTTTTTAATACGATATTTGTTAAAATAACTGTTTTATCAACGATATATAAATAATTTTACGTACAAAAAATTAATTATTATTTCTGAATTTTATTAATTTTCAATTATCATTATTTCAGTTATGCAAAAATAAATAAAGAACGTATTCTTTCTCACTTTCACACGAAAAATCGCTCATCAAACTTCTGCGAACATTCTATGCATATTAAATATAATTTTTTAAATCGAACATCGAGATAAAGCTCACCTGACAAGAATCCTTCTGGCCATCGGGATATCCTGCGCACATCATGTTATCAGAAATCATGCGTGGATTGTAGCTTGTGTTACGGCAATCCTGAAGGCTCATAACCGGTACTTCGACTTCCTGCAGCAGGCAAGAAGGCTTACCATCCTCGTACAACGTACCCCAGCCGGACGCGATTGCCTTCGATCCGATGTATTGCTTATCTGAAACCCATTAACACGGCCCGTATGTACACAGGAGAAGAGAAATATCATGCAGAAAAAAAAAAGAGAAAGAGAAGATTGCGGTGGAATGGTAATGGTATGCATCGATATCGATTGGTATGCAGTATTGGTATAGTGTTTTTAGAATTATTTTTCATTTGACTTGTCACTTGTGGTGTTTATCCATTTGCTTACTTCTCACCTGGATCTGGACACCTTATTTGACACGAATTATTTAATAATTAGATAATAGTTGTTGCCAATAGTTGTTTGTGCATCAGAGTTTCATTGTTTTGATCGAAAGTAGTTAATCGCGTTACTGAATTCGCTATAGGTACCCGTATATTGATCAATTTATAATTTCGCAACAATAAATAATGATTGAAATGTTTGTAACGATAAATTAATTGTTCTAAGAATTTCTATCGATGTGTGCTATTTGACGTCTCGTTTTGATGGAGTTATTTGGTGAGAGATGTTACTTTATACGATTGAATAGTGGATTTTTATGAGATCCAAATATACGAGTGTTTAATATTATTGTGAGCAATATGAAGCAAATGATAAAAATTGGTGTGTAAAAAATATTGGTTGAGACTTATTTATTAAACCATTTAAGTTTGCACTAAAACGATTTAATAAGATAGAACTCATGTTACAGAATTTTATTTATTAATTATTTATTTATTAAAAACATTTTATTTATTTATTTATTTTATTTATTTATTTTATTATTTATTTATTTATTTATTTATTTATTTTATTATTAATTTTATTTATTTATTAAAAACATTTTTAAAAAAATATTGATAGAATGTGATAGATGAAGATAAAAATGTCTCACACTATCTCTGTCTTGTTTTATTTAGTACGAAATTGATTATAATTTATTAAATAAACTTTAATTGATATTTTTATATTTATTTTAATTTTTAAAATTAGTGATATATAATGCATGAATATTATGGCTATGAAACTGTTCTACAATTAAAAGTTTGGTGTCTCATATTTGTATCTCATATTCTATTTGAAAAAATTAATTTATAGATTGAACAATATTATTTTTTGACATTATAAAATGTCTTTGAAATATATTTAAAACTTCAGTATTACTACCTAATTATTATCATTATATTTCTGTTATGAATTGTAATATTTATATACTAAATTATTTGTGATTATTTCCTTATTACAAAAAATCTATTTAAAAATATAAAAATCTACAATCTATTGATTAATTAATTGTTTTCAATATTCAAATATATTTCAATATTATTCAATATTAATAAATATCTTTCAAAGATCCATTCTAGAAAAAATATAAAAATGTCAATTAAGATGTTAATTAATGTTATTTAGATGTTAATTAATGTTAATTAATTTAGATATCAAATTATAGATAGTTTAAGTTTGTTAGATGAAATTCAATTAAAGTAAGATGATTCCATCTTCGTTTCATTTAATGCAAACTTCAATTACTTATAACTGTTAATAAATAAGCTTCTTTTTTGTTTGTTTTCCCTCTAAAACCTTTCAAAGATGTCCAATGAATATATTAACACGAATATTACAGAATAACATACACATGACAGACTTTATAGAGAATGAACATCTTTAACATTTGCACATTTGTGATAATAGAAATAGTGAAATAATCACCTCTTACTGATGGCAGACATATGGGTCTTATGGTATCGCTGAGGGGCACTCTTTCGTTAAGACGTAACAGGGCAATATCATTGTCGAAATTGAGGAAACTGAAATCACCGGTTAGCACTCTCACCACGTATCTGGTTTCTGCCCCTTTCTCGGTGCACCTGTCATGTTCACCGAACGTGACCTTGATCATGAACCACATGAACCTGAAAATGGGGCTAGGAAAGTTGATCATGCTTCTCTGGAGAACTAATCTTATCATTTGTAAATTAAACCAGAGATTCGAAAGACTTTGTTTGGTTCATTATATGTATAATGAATTGTTTTAACTTTCTACGAGTGGTAATTTTGTTTATTTCTGTAAAAAAATTAGGTAACTAATTATAGTTTCTGATTTATAAATTAAAATAATAATAGTTGTTACGAATATTAATTAATTTCATAATCGTCGTTTTAAAGGATCATTTTATAAAATATATCATATTATAAAATATTTTATAAAATATATCATATTATAAAACGAAGAATTGCCATAGCTGCAAATGAAAAATTTATAGCGAAGAAATAAATAGATAATACTTTGATAAATGAACGATTGATTTTGAGCGAATTGCAATTAAATTCTTATTTATTACAGTATCTGATTATATATGACAAAACAACGAAAAAAACTTAAAAAAGCAAACAGTTAATTAATGTTAACATATTATATCCATTATATTGAATTACTTTATAATTATTACTCGATTGCTATAGTTATTGATTGAATTCATATTTTTGATATTCTTTATTTACCACATATATAAAATTTTTTAAATAAAAATTATCATTAGAGTATTATTTTGATTGAAAAGAAAAATTATTTTCTCATGATAATTAAAAATAACTATTATTATTTTCTATCAAAAACGACATCGATTATGAGATAATAACTTAATATTACTTAATATCAATAAAGTATAAAAAAAAAAAAATAGAACAAATTAAATTTGAAAAATAGTATAAAAAGTTACATGTATGGATATATAAATTTTATTATACCATTATAGAGGATTAATTGCCTGTTTTGGTTAATACTTACCCTTTGACACAATGAGCTGCTGTGAGTACATATCGATCATTTATCAATGTTCCACCACAATAGAATTTGTTCAAATACGAAAGCCTGGCCATCCATGGGAATTCATTCATACGAGTCGTTTGACCACCAACTATTCGACTTTCTTCGTTTCGCAGGCCGCAGCCTAATAGTTTGAACAGTTAAACGTGTTAGCAACCTGGTTTTCTTAACTAGGAATCGTAGTTAACGGTAACGAAAAATAAAATAATAATAACGATAAGTTGGCAATATTGACTGTTATATTAGAGCTTGGTGTTAAAATGTTTTAGAACATGTAGTGTTAAGTTAATGTCAATACGTATGTAAAATTTAATTTAAGATTCATTAAGATTATAAATAATATCCTTAAATGGTATAGTATAATTCAATAATTATTATGTGATTAATATTGTTATAATTATATAATATATAATAGTTTTTTAGTTAGCAATAATAAGTCCATTTTAATATTGAATGATATTGAATAATATGACAGTAATATTAATTTAAATGTTAATCAAAAGATATTAAAAGACATGATAATGAATATTATGAATAATTAAATATTTAGAGAAAAAATAAAGATTATTTCCAAAATATTGTATCATTTTGATGATACATTGTTGCATCATATTATTCTTAATAATTATTAATTATTATTTTTGATATTATTAATGGAAATATAATTGTACTTACTGCAGTAACATGGTCCAGGTGCTTCTACAGCATACGGTGGTTTATTACCAAAAATACCAAAAAAGTTTTTCACCTTTTCACCAATAGTACTTGCCTAAAAAAAGTTCATTAAATTCAATATAAGTTCTTATTAACAATTCAATATATAACACAAAAATTATATTTAATATCTCCATATAAACTATATGTTTATTTAACTGTACATTAACTTATTTAAAAATTAACATTAATATTGTTTCTTTTAAGAATAAAATTTAATTCATATTACATTACGTTCTACTTTAAATTACTTTTTGAAAAGCAAATATAAAATCTCGATTCCAATTGAGACAAAAATGATCAATAAAAAACATTTTTACAAATTCAATGATTATTCCGCAATTATTTAATAAAATAATTCCTCAATTATCCCCAAATTATTAAAACAATTAAATAATCATCCTATAATTAAATAATAATATTTTACAATTTTTTGCATTTCATTTGCATCTCCTCTTACAGTACCGTTGATATTATGATAAAAATAAGTTTTACCGCAAAGATCTTACTATGTGATGTCTTACTTGACAACTTCTTGAAGCCAGAGCCAGGATCACTAGTAATCCAATGCACGGGGAGAACCTCATTTTCCGTCAATCAAATTCTGCCCGCGTTTATTATCCGTGCGAAACACGTTGAACACGTTCCACAGAAAGGATTCTCTCTGTTGATGAAGGATCCGCCGCGCGGACACTGTCAGGAACGAGTTACGAACATATCCCTGGCTGGGAGTTGCTATCGCCAGTGTCCCACGGCAACTGAGGACGACTCACTTCGAGGAAGGTGATTGCTATTCCAGAAGAGAAGGAGGACACGACTGGTCGGCGACTGGACAGTACCTGACCAGTTCGGGTTCACGTTCAGGGTCGAATTACGGGTGACTGTTATTGACCTTCATCAGGGTCACGCTAGGTTTTTCAACGATGATTGCAGTTTTTTTTTTTTTTTATATGGATTTGGATGCATTTAAATATTTTTTGATATTGTAATTTAATTTAGAAATGATGTTTAAATCTTGATCACGAGCTAATTTTATATTTATTAAAAATCCACGTGCGCTATCTTTTTCGATTGAAAATTTGCTATTTGATTATTGATCACATTAATGATATATTTATTGTATTATTGTATTAAATAAAAATTGTATAATAATAATACATATATTTTTCATGGTAAATAGTCGTTTAAAAAGAACTTGAAAAGAAATCTTATCGATTTAGTTTATCTTCATTAGATTATCGTTTTGCAGCAACTAATAAAATATTAATGAAAATATTAATGAAGAAGAGCATTTGAAAATACTTACTTATATATTACAAAAGTAGATTTTACGTGAAAAATTCAATTTATTATTAATATTAATTCGATCGTTAAATCAATTATAACAATATAACACTTAAATCCATATATTTTATGTATTATCTGCTATTTATTAAAATATATATATATATATATATTTTCACGTATTTATAACCATCTTGTCATGACACGCCCAAAAATCAGTGCCAGGAATATATTATTCAAATTCCAAGAGAAAAGACATTACAACTACCCATCATATTATATGTAAAACTCTTATTATACACAAATTTGTCATGCGTCATTCGTTTAACAGCAAGTATTTTGCACTAATATTATGTCTATTCGAGATAGTGACTAGGCTATTATAGTCTGGTTTTTCCACTTTCGACTAAATTATGATACGCCTTCTTGGCCTTCTTTATTTTTGGTCTCGACTTTGTGGAGGGAACAAAAGTTCTTTTGGATTTCAGAATTCATTTTTATTTATTTGTTTATTTATATTTTTTTTTCTGACAATGATCTTTTATAAATAGTTGTTGAATAACGTCATATTTGGAATATCAAGGAATGTGAAAAAAATAAAGAGAAGGGAGCTAGTTTTTAATGGATCGAAAGGAAATTTATTTTTGAATGATGAGCAAATGATGTTATATAGAATATATTATATTTTATATGAAAAACGTAAAGCATTGAATGCAAAGATTGAATTTACATTACATATGCACGAATGCATATACTGTCGTCTTGGTTTTGTATTAGCTTCATTAATTTAATCGTGGTTCGACAGAAAACCGTTACTGATCATTATTCCAAGTACGTTCGGTTGCCATTCACGCAACAAAAGGGACGATACGAGTACAGTTCGAATTATACAATATATTTTCTACATGTTGCAAATTTTTACAGATGTTACAAATGTGAAAGCATATTTTACAAAATAAAAAAAATATCAAAAAGATTATTATTTATTTACAAAATAGAAAGAGAAATCTTCATATATAAGGTATAAATGTTTTACTAATTGAAATTTGATTTTGTTTTTTTATTTGTTGATATTGTTTTTTATTAAATTTTCAAAAATTTATGGATTTTTTTATAATAGACTATTTTTTAATTTACAACATATGACATTTAAATACTCTATTTACTTTTCTCTGCTATGATAATTATTAATTATTCTAACGTTATAATTTACTAATAAATTATGTACAATGTATATATATTTTAAAAGTAACAAAATATTCTTTACAATTATGACTATTTATACTTATTGTTAACATAATATAATCTAATTATTCTAATTTTCTAATTATCACTAAATATATATATACATTAAATTAATTTATAACAGCTTCTTATTTTATACATCATTTAGTCATGAGATTTTTAAGTATATTTAATTTACTTTTCTAATATATTTGACTAATTATTAAAATTATAATAATTTTCAATAATTAAAGTAATAAATAATTTCTATTTTGTGTTGATTTTTATAATTATATTTTATCAAATGATAAAATCAGAACACTCTCAACACAACATGATTGGATTAATAAATAATTTGATGGAATTATAATATAAAATATTGTCATTAAATTAAATTAGTAGAAGATTTTCCATTTTGTAGATTTTTTTTATGGAAATATCATTTTGAACAATTGATCGATCCTTTTTAATTTGTACATATACATCCTTGTTTCATATTTGTGTTAATCCAATTCAGGTACCTAGATACTCTTGTATAAACTCCAGGATATCCTGGTCTTCCGCAGCCTACACCCCAAGAAACTATTCCTACATTTAAAAGAAATAAAAATTAAAAATAATAATAATAACATTCTTATAAAAATATTATGATTTTTAAAAATAAAAATTTGTTATTCTTTTTTATCTCAAAAAGATAAACTATATTAATATTCAATAGTTTAAAAATTACTATTTTATAATTATTTCATATTTAAAAGTTTATTTATTTCTTCAATATTTATTTAATCACACATCAGTTTAATCTACACAATGAATTTGTATTTTATTTAATTTTTTTTTATCAAGGTAAAATAAACGAATAAAAAGAATACGTGGAAATTTAATTCTTTGAATACTTGATAACTTGAAAGTAAACATGTGATAAGTTAAACGATATTTATTTCTTACCAACTATTTCGAGTCTATCGCCTTCCTGCACGAGAAGAGGTCCACCACTATCACCCTGACAAGAATCTTGACTGCCTCGACCGGCGCATATCATATTATCCGTAATTCGATTAGCTCGATACTTCATTTTACGACACTGTATTAAACTTAATATGGGTACTTGAACCTCGTGGACTTGTCCAGCCAGCATACCACCTTCCGATGTCCGACCCCAGCCTACTACGGTACCTTCTTTACCAGCTGGATCGCTAGCTGCAAATATTTTCGCTATTTAAATTCATTTTATTAGAGAAAAAGAAATTTTGTTTTTTTATGAAGCAAAGATAAGTAGATTTATTTTTAATTAATTATTTTTAGTATTTGAATAGGATAAATTTTTATATTTTTTAAATAAAATTATTTATTCTATAAGGTATCAATTTGTTTGAAACCATGAAATCAATAAAATATTTAATTTTAATAAATTTTTTATGATTTTTCAATCGTGATAATGAAATTCATAAAGGATTTAAAATTTTACAAGATATTATTTGTATAAAAAAATTGTAAAAATAGAATTTAACAATTTTTTATTAGCATATTTGAGATAATATTTATAGTTAATTACCTTTTTGAGGTAAACATACTGGTTTGACACGTTTGGAAAATTTCACAGATTTTCGAAGTTTCAGCAAAGCAACATCATGATTGTACGAATTCATGTCGAAATTTTTGTGACGAATTATAGCGCTCACTGCTCTCATTATAGCTTTTCCATCGGTATTCACATATTGATCGTAATCACCTAATATTATACGTATTTTTGAACGTTTTAACCTGGAAAATAATTCATATTTTAATAATTTAATAAATTTAATAATTCTTTATAACAAAATATTAGTATTATTTATTTTACATATGTCGTATATATCGTATATATTTTAATTCATATAATTATTAAATATAAATAGTTTGATATTTATTGGAATAATACAAGGAATATATATATATATATAAAATATATAAATATAATTTTTGATTATAAATGCTTTTATTACTATGATATTTACAATAAATTAATTAAAATTAAAATTAAAATATCTTTTGATTTAACCATTTTGCATTTTATAAAAGCAAAATACACAAAGAGAAATAATGGAAACTTTAAAATGCTTTCGTTGCAACATTTCCGTATTACTCCTACCTAACCATTCTATTTATTTAGTAAGTAGTAAATTTTTTTTTTAATAAAAAATTCTGCAGAAAGAAAATGATAATAAATTAAAATTTATTTCAAATTCGATATATTTAATATTTAATATTTGACACGTTAATACATAATACGTAATAATACGTTACATAACTGTCAATTATTTTAATCACAATTATTTAGATATTTACATTCATTTGGTTGATTACGTATCCACTGTATTTACTATTTATTTTCTAACATAGCATTTGTTGATTTTTTACATTTCATTTAATAATTACAAATTGAATAATATAAAAATATTGTATTAAATTACATGATACATAAAAATCTTTTATAAACTCTTGCACACTAATAAAATTTAATTTTCACCAAACAAAAGCACAAATTGAATCAGAAAAATTATCTTAAAAAAAAATTGAAATTGATGTAACTAATGAAAATTTCTGCGAAACGAAAACTTACCTTCGTACACAGTGAGCAGCAGTAATAACGTAATCATTGGTAACGAGGCTGGCTCCGCAGTGGAAACGACCCTCGTACACGAGCCTCGCCACCCACGGATATTTATTCGGGGTTGTCGGTCGTCCACCGACGATTCGATCCTCCTGATTCGATATACCGCATTCTGAAAGCAATACCATCATTGTTGCCCGTTACGTGACGTCGTCGTTAGAGGAGCCGGAAGCACTCAACGACGCTTTCTACCGTGGACTGTTACATCGGTAGGTAGCGCGCAATCATACGTATTGACTGACGTTATTACACTTGGCCGACGTGGTCAAGTGTAAATTCCGTCACGTGATGTAATAAGTTTGCAAAGTCGTATTCGGGGGAAAGTGATTTTTCGATCGCACTTTCGTTCCACGCTATGGAAGAGAAAGAGAAACGAGCAATGCGATGGAAACTAGTTCGTGGATTTTTTTTTTCTTTTTTTTTTTTTTTTCTTCTTTTTTCTATTCCACCATCAAGTGAAATTAAACGTAGGTGAAAACCAGTTCGGTTTATCTTTTTTTATCTTGCAATTGGAATGAATCGATCTGTGATCTGTGAGGTTTCGAGCATTGAACTTGATTATTTTATTGCACATGGCTGAATGATAAGTAGAGTATGGAGCAGAATTTCTCAACTTTCTGGTTCTCTCTGAATGTGACTGAATGTGTTATTAGATTGTTGCAAGTGAAATTTTTAATATATAGGTTTTAATATAAGGTTTGAGATTAATTTCAATTAAAATTTGATTCAATAAATGTATAATAGATTTTGTTTTTTTGTCAATTTTGATCCGAATTTTTCGAAAATTCTGTAAATTATAATTCTACGTTCTGTGATTTTAGATTTGTAAAAATTTGATATCTCGTATACAATAACTTTGTAATCAAGTTTGTAATGCATGATATCGCGAGTTGGATGTTTGAAATATAGAATTTTTGAAAAGTTGACAGAATTGGAATCATTGTATATGTATATTATGTAAATTATACGTATATTATGAATAAAATTTTGTATATTTATGTAGAGTTGATGCGTTTGGATAATTCTTGTTAAAAATTTATATCAGATTGTGACTCATAAATTGGTATAAAAAAATATCGAAAAGATATTCTTTGTTATGGTAAATACATATAATTTTGAAAAATTTTGACAATAAATTCGTCAAAATAAATTGAAAGTGGCACGTGTCAATTCGTCATATTTGTCATATTTATTCACATTTATCTTCTTATTTATGAAAAGTAGTTATATTTCGATTATCCAAGAAACACATTTCATCTTTTATTACGAATAATGACATGTTTTGACTTTGGCGCGAGGAGTAATTTATTTCCCTATTTGAAAGAAATCGTATTTGAACGTTTGAGGCGAAAACTAATCAATTTCACTTTTTCATTGGGAAAAAAGTCACATTTAAATGAAACGTGCTACCGTGTACATTCGAACGTTTAAATTTTCATTACAAACGACTAAAATATTCTTCTATTTACAGGCAATCAAAACTAAACGTTTATTGCAATGTATTACTTTTCATGAGAAAAACGTAATAGTATATTTTATTTTCTATTAAATAAGCTAATAAATACCCTTTTCTTTTGCGGAAGAGAAAGAAGAAAATATAATATTTTGAATTATATCAAGGATGAATATATTTTTTTACGTAAGATAAATGAAATATACTATTTTCAGATATAAGAAAATAACATACAATAAAATTAAAAATAGAAAATAACGAGTAAAATTATATTTCTAATCCAAAATATTATTCAATTCGAATTTTCAAAATTTGAAATGGAAAATTTTAGTAATTAAAATGAAAAAAATAAAATAATAATAATAATAAAAAAGATTTTAGTGCTCTTGTTATTTCAACATCAAAAACTGTTAAAAAAATTTTGTAAAAATTACTTATTTACAACTTTCTATTATAATTTCATTTTAAATTAACTATAATTCAAAGAATACTTTTAATGTTAATAAATACTTATGTATTGCAATTATTTTAAATTTATTTTTTTTCATATAGAAAATAAAAGAGAAAGACTCATTCATTTATTCGTTAACGTAATCTTACCGCATGTACAATTCCTTGATACATCATCATCGTCCACGCTGCTACTTATGTCAAGGCCGAACAATTCATCAAACAAGAACTTGCCCTTTCGATTACGGGTCGAATTCGTCGTCTGAAAGAAACGCATCGATCACTCTTCAAGCCGTACGCTCACTTTCCATTGCAAATAAGCAATAAGAAGCCGTCAGAGAAAGTGACCATGATTCGAATTATGGGTCAAGGCTCGTATCGTTAAAAATTCCAATCTATACAACGAACAAATCCTCTAAATTATCCACATAAAATTGATTCGCAATAACGAACCCCTTCATTATTCTAAACGAGTTATTCACGAAAGAAATAATTCTCGATTAAATCTCTCAAAATATTTTTTAAATACTTATGAATAATTATCTCATGATCTTTCCGAGAGGATTTTATGAAAAATTACGAAATCTTATGAAAAAAAAAATCATTCCCAAAAAAGAAAAAGAATTCCTCGACCAAAGCAATTTTTTATCAAGAATAAGAATACGTTACACGAATTTTTCTTTATCGAAAAGAAATTTAACTCCAATGTAATTATCCACTGTATAATAACATCACTCTGTTTAAACATCACTTTGTAAAGAGGAGAAGGCCAAATACCAATTTCACTGTCCAATGTACTACTTACACCATAATTCGAGGTAGTCAAAGAATTATCACGCAGAAGTTTAACATCCAGACAAGCCACGTGAGCGAAAATAAAGAAGAGCAAGGCAAGGGTCCACGTTTCCCGCGATATCGTGCCTCGAAACATCTTCCGGCAGTCTGATTGCGGAGGAATGTCACGCCAGATTTTCCCATTCGTCGGCCAAACTTCCTAGACACTCGAGATTTTCACGGAATTTTTCATGATCGCGCATTCTATATCGCGCGCCAACACACCTTCCACACCGATATTCTTCCTCTTCTTCTTTCCTCTTTGTTCAAGTACTCTAGATTCGTTCGAGAGGCTGCAGAAGATCGTGGACGGACGTGGTGCAGACGCTTTCACCGCGCTTCCACGAAGACATCGGACTGACCGAGCAAGACCAACAACGAGCGTTCCTCGCTCGTGAAGAAAGTTCTTTCACTATGTCCTGTTGCTCTTCCCATTCAGTATGCTAAGCCGATCGCTACGATGATCCTCTCGTTTCGAAATTGGCAAGATGGACGTGGCCGCGTCGATTCGTGTCACGCCACTGTCCAGATCCTCCATTCGGCGATCCATTTCCTAATATTTCGTCGCTCGATTTTTCCATTGTCGGTTAGATTACTTTTAATTTTCATTTTACAATTATGAGAGAATTTGAAAGTTTTGATTTTTTATGCAAAAAAAAAAGGAATTTGTAGCATTGTGCATTCTTATTTTTTTTTTTTCAACGAAACGTTTCTTTATCACTTTCACGAGACGTTTCTTTATCACTTTATTTTCTTTATTATTTTACTGCCAAGTTTTTTGTAGTCATGTAGTGAAAGTGATGCTAATACGATACGAATTTTAATATATTTGGATTCAATTAAATAATATTTATGTGAATGTTGTAACGATTATATGATTTTATTGTTTAGTTAAAAAACATTTTGTTTCATTCATAAGTGATGTTAATTTTATGATTATTGTTTCTTTAAGTATTACCATTTTAATACTATAATTTTACTGCTATTAAGTTTTGCATTAAACTTAGTATTATAATTCTAAGATTATTAAGATTAATAACAAAAAAGTGAGGTTAGGAATAAATATGACATCTGCTATATATATATATATATATATATATTCATTGTCAGATTTGTTCACATATATATATTTTTCTAATATTTTGTTTAGAAATAGAAGATTTTTTTGCTCTAAAAAATTTAATTCTGAGAAAATTAAATATAAAATTGTTTAAAAATCTTACGTTTTATAAATCATTCAACGAAATTTTGAAAATAAGCAGCATGAAAAAATTAGATTACGTATCAAATATTACAATGTCAATGTATTAATGTATATTGAATTTTGCATTTAATTTTGCAAATAAGTTTCAATTTGCAACTCTTTGATATTCCAATGGTAATTATTCTCTTTAGTACAGGATATGGAATCGTTTTAACGTTGGTAAATGTTAGAGAAACTTGGAATATATTCAACGATTAATCGATCGTTTTTCCAATGATAGAAATTGAGAATTCCAGAAATGCTTTTTCCGCATGAAAGTTGAGATTATTGGATACCAAAAAGAGAATTCCTAACATTTTCAATGATCAAATCGAATACGATGAAAATATCTTTTCGAAATGATCTTGAATACGAAATCTTTCCATCGTGAACGTTACTTTTATTACTTCGATTCGATACACCCCATCTTAACCAGATAAAGGAGGCACGCTTTCGATTTATCCTTTCAAAAAATTTCTCTTTTAGCGACCGACCAAACGTGGACGTGTCTCCATCCTTGACAAATGAAATCACGAGGCGAGAAATACGAGTTTTACCACGGAAAGATTTTATTAAAAAAGTTCTCCGCTCATCGTCACAATTTTTACGGTTACTTCTTTCGTGTCCTCTGATCATGTGCCTTTTACGACCCACAATAAGACGTTTTTCTTTCTAAGAATTACCATTAAGATTGTTCTTAGCATTTCAACTGATCACGAATTCGATCAATGATTGCTGTTTGTTCAAAGACTTTAAATTAAATTTTCCCCGAAATTTTGAGCTTTATACCGCAGTTGATAATTTTACTTTAAAACTAATTCACTAATTTACATTTAAGAAGACAAAAGTATTAAAGGAATGGAAAATTTCTTTGAATAAACGAAACATTTTTACTAATTTTTAAAAATATTAAAATTTGTAATTAATTAATATATAACATAACATAATATAATAATAACATAACATACACGTATTATTAGTTTCTTTACTATTATTAAAATCTAAAAAAAAAATATTAATAGAAAGAATTATTGTTTATTTTTCAAAATCGAAAGAGTATAAAATTTTTTATAAAATATTTTTAGAAAAATAGTAAAAATTTTATAATTTTATATGTTTCTTACTATTTATTATTAAAAATCAAAGGAAGAAATATTTATTGTATATTACATCGTATTTTAATATTTTATATATGTATAAATAATAATATATATTACACATTACATATATTAACGTTTTTTTACTATTTATTAATATATAATTAATTTTCACGTGTTATATAGTGTAACAAATATTCCATAAGTTATTTTACACAATAAATTCGATTGCCATTTCTGTTTCATTTTGGGAAGAATTAGGAGTCGTTGGTAACGGTCTGGAGGTTTCACTAACCCACATTCATCGTTGAAAGCAAAACGTTTCTGACCGCTGACCCAGTTTCCGTTATTATCAATTCATCTTGATCGAGAACTATCTTTTATCTAACTTTTATCTATTTCGTTATGAAGTCCAACTTTTCTTTGAGTCATTTTTCCTCGACCGTTAGATTTTACCGGTTTTTTACTCGTAACCTGCACTTTTTTTTCTCGTAATTAATCGGTAAACGAGATCGAAAAATTTTAGAGAAAAATGAAATTTTTCAATTATGGTCGAAACGTTGTGATTTTTTATTCGTAAAAATATTTTTCTAACGGTTTACTTATTTTTTTATTGTTTATATTATTTTATTATTATACAAAATTTTATCATAGAAATACGTATATTATATATAAAATAATTTTAATTGAAATTTTTTGAATTTTAATCGAAATTTTTATTCATACAAATTATTGGTAGAATTATTTTTCTAATTTTCTGCATTCATTATTTTTTTATGATAATTCAAATTACAAGTTACAATATTCAAATATTTTTATTTTGCCATTTACATTATGAATTGTGATGGAAAAATATTATAAATATATTAAAATAATATAGAAAAGATTTAAAGAAATGAAAAAATGAATAACCAGAGTTGTAAATTTAAAAAAATTAAAAACTGCAAGAGAAAGAAAGTTTCACAAGTTTCAAAATTATGATATTCGATATTATTTTTTTCCATCTGTTTTTATCAAAGTATTTGCGAATCCAAAGTAAAAGTTTTAACTTGTTAACTTTCTCTCTTATCATGTAATAATTATCTTACAGCTTCTTTACAACTTTAAATTCGTCTTTTTACAACTCTTTCGTTATTGTTTGTGTAATTTCCAATACATTTAGTGAAAGGTTTCAAAGATAATAATATCAAGATAAACGGAAATTCTTTATTCAACAATCGTTTCAAATATACAGAAAACGCGGAACATCACAGAAAATCGGAACTTCGTCATATATATGTACACTGGACTAGATCATCTCAGCTATGTGCAATTGTATCTACAATTGCAATAACATAATTGCAAAAAATTAACATGATAAACTATGATTCGATAATTCTATCAAATTCAACAATTATTTACAATCAGATTGTCAAGTAACAATAAACATCTGTGTAAATATTTATAAACATATAATAAAATTTAAAACTTATTAACTATGGAATATATAATACTGATCGTATTGTTGCGTCGATTATCTTAATGGAATTAAAAATGTTACGTAACGAAAGATTGATATTCGAAAGGTATGTATGATCGTATAAATTATGTACTTTATCTTAATAAGATTTTTGAAATAGAAAGTTAATATCTTTGTGACGATGGTGGACACATACATTCTTCGTGTAGATGATCTTTCACCCATTCGAGATAATTTGTTATTTTTGTATAAACTCCCGGATATTTTGGTCTTCCGCAACCACGACCCCATGAAATAATACCTGAATATGTAACGTTAATTAAATATTTTCTTTCGTTAATATCATAAAACAATAATTATTAACGAAATAGAAAGAATTTAAATAAATGTAATTATAAATTGTAACGGTCAATGAATAATTTGTCAATGAATACCTATTACTTCCATATATCCAAACGTGTTCTTCACATGGAGAGGACCACCACTGTCACCCTAAAAATAATATAACGTTATATGATTGATTAATTTTTATGAAGTAGAATAATAAAATATTTGAATTACAACTATTACAAATTAATATTATTGCAATCAAAAGTTCAAATTCATAATTATGTTAAAACAACATTAGATATTGTTTTATTCTAAAAAAAATCAAAACATTTATTAAAAAAATTTTTATACAAGATTGATTATTCTCTTACGAAGCAAGCATCGAATTCACCCTTCAAATATCCTGCACAGAACATATTTTCGGTGATCATATGTTTGTAATAACCAGCTTCATCGCATTCCTCTTTGGACAAAATTGGGAGATTGACTATTCTCAATTTATTACTCACAGGTTCATATTCCCCCGTTTGACCCCAACCAATTGCTGTAGCTATTGCTCCGGTATAATCGATAGTTTCTGCAAATTATATTCTATTTTATACGAATTTTCACGCTTTTCTTGTTTTAGAACACACGATATTTTTTTAAAAGAAATATTCGTTACTAAAATGCGAATTAATCGAACAAATAATTCAGAATAAATAATATCCATGGAATATCTATAAAATATATAATTTTTATCTGTTATTAAAATTCGAATTATTAAAAAAAAATTTGACTTTTTAAATAAAGCACGAAAGATTAGTTAATATTTTTTATATATTTCTTCAAATTAAATCGTTTATTTGCGAATTATGAGATACATATTTTACTGCACATTATTGCGCTATTTTTCGTAATAACAGCAAAAGTGTACTCACTGTCTTTGGGCAAACAGGCGGTTCGCACGATACCATTCACATTCACTG